CCAGAGTTGTGGATGTAACAACCGTGGCCGGGACCCTTCGTCGTCCAGTTCGGAAGCTGGTGGTGGTGGACACGTCGGCTCCTTATTAAGTAGTGCGTTGCACGGGGTCCGCCATGTTGCCGACGACGACGATAGTGGACGTTTTTATATAGTTTTTGTATACGTTTTATATTTTTAATATTTTAGTTATGTAAGGAACAGAACAGACAATCCGACTTTAGTCCCTATACTCTACCTTACATTTATTTAAAAATCTATATGAGACAGGAACTCCGGGCTTAAAATTCGGAGCATAGAAATCTAACTCCAAAGCTAAAAAAATACTCTGATTCAGATTTCGATCGAAGCCCTCGTATATTATATATCAGTGTCAGATTTATTTTTCGCTTGAAAAGCTTCATCATTACAAAGTATAAAACAAAGTCGCTTTCTCAGGCCCTATGTATGCTAAAATCTTTAAAACTACGCAACTGATTTTGATGCAGGTTTTTTCATAGATAGGGTAATTCAAAAGGAAGATTTTTATGTATAATACAAGACCACGCGGGCGAAGCCGCTGGCGGAAAACTAGTTGATTATACATGGGCAAATAATATATACACTAACGACAAGGAGAAATAATAATGTTAGACATCAACATTCTTAAGTTGAACTGTTGATCGAAGTAGGTATAAATAATGAATGAATGAATGAATGAATATACTTTATTGCCCATTAACACATAAACATGAAAACAATTTTTATTAGAAACATCGATGCAAAAGGCGGCCTTATTGCTAAGGTAGCAATCTCTACCAGGCTATAAATAAGCATTTAACATGCATTTAATTACTATGCGTCTGGTCTATGACATGTTCAATTATAGTCTATGAATAATTGGAGAGTATCGTGCCATGTGCGTGTGTATATGCTGGAGAAAAGTTAAGAAGAAGAAGGAGAAAATTATTGACATCGTATTAGTACTGATATGACTTATCAACCCTTTTTATTGTAACATCATTAAATGACACCATCACAACTAATTAACCCTTTCTTAGATAATTTAGCTCCGTCTCTTCTTCCAATGTTTGTTATCACCAGAGGTCGGAATTAGGTAGAGTTATTTATGTACTTGCATTGAAATGTTGATATTAATGTGGACCTTCCCGGGATTTAGATAGTTTGAATGCGGTAGAAAGAGATACAATCTAGTACATTACGTTAAGTGGGGAGTGCTCCGCATTTGCGCTATTGTATTCTTTTGTTCTCACAAGCTATGTTGTGCGAACTACAAATGTGGCAACATTGCGCGTATTGGTATTTTGCAACTTTGGACATCCGATGTCATTGATGTAAGTTTGCCAACGTCGTGCGTGCAGTAGTTTAAATTGTGTAAAAGTAAATAACTTTTTATTTAAAAAATCACGGGTTTTTTTCTGCTCTTTAAAATTAATCTCGGGATTTGAGGCATATCCACTTTATTCTTTCGCTGTATGAAATCAGTGTAAGTACATGAATAACTCTACCTAGTTCCGACCACTGGTAATCACACATTGCAATTATTTAGAATTAATAAATTCATTGGTATAATACGATATATTCCTAATCCCATTCTTCCTTTACCGATTAATTTTTCCTTTTAATTCTAGTTAGTTTCCCAATTTTTTTACTTGACGTTGATAAAATTCATAAGTGTAACATATAAATACTAAGGACAAGGCTGCATGGTCATCAGATCTTTGATTTAAAAGGGGAAAAAAAACTAAAATGTCTAACTAGCAAGCAAAAAAAAACGCTTAATAGTAAACAAATATGGCGTCTTTATGAAATTTGACATTTGATAGGGTTGGGAAACATTGATTTATATAATGATGATCTGCTGAATGATTGCTTATTACATAATTAATTTTTGTATATTGAGTCTTCTTATTAAAAACCATAGATTTTACAATGCGACTAAACTTCAATAAGAAATGGACTATCATAAAAAATATTAACAATGACAAAAAGTATCCGCTTTAGCTTTTTAGGTATAATATTTTTTTATAAATAAGATATTCTTAGATCATATGCCGGATGATTTTACTTCTTGCTTTTTTATTCTAGTGTTGTAGAATATTATACCCACGTGAGACTTACCGTAGTTACTCTAATTTTATTTTAGTTGGGCTTAAATATATTTTTATTGTAGTAAGAAACATAATTATTTGGCAGTAAAATTGCAAACGGCGACAGTGATCTCCCAGCTAATATGTCTATTTTAATAGCATTAATTGAAATTATACAGTTTTGATAAACTCTAAAATGGCCATCCTGGATCAGTTTATCCCGTATATTGATGTTATTTAATAAAAAAGAATTTAGTTATCAAACGTAGAAAAAATACCATTGTAGTTTTTTAATGTTTCCTGTTTTTTTATATTTAGACAAATAATGAAGGTTTTACTTGTATATACAGGTTTTTGGCTTCATATTATCGTTAAATTGTTTAGTGTAAACACAATCTCTATTACTCTTTTGAATGTTTTGTTTGTCATGTGACATTTAAATTCATTATGTCACCGTAATTTATTGATGACGTAAAAATATAAACAATTCGTTTTTAATATTCTTCAACAATCTTTAACCTGACATACAGACAAAAAAAAATGTTATCATCCCTGATTACAATTTAATAGTTAGTTATCATTAATAACAATAGCTAAAATTAAAAAAAATATACTAATATTGCACATAAAACAAAAAAGAACATCACTGTGATAAAAAATAAATCGATATACATATATATATATGATTATATCATATATATATAATCATAATATATATATATCAAGATATAAAAAAAATAGTTTATTTAAAACCTACCAAATATGTCACTATTTACAAAGAATTTATTATTTATTATTAAATTTTACAAAGAAAGCACTAAAAAAGCACCACACTAGATGTCGGCTCTAGCAAAAGTTGATTTTTGCTGGAAACGAATGGACCAAAGATAGTCATTTCCGTTCCTTTTAACTAACATTATAAAAAACAGAAAATTACAAAGTTTCAAACTTAGATATAAATACAAACTCGACAAAATTACAAATAGAATATTAGATGTTTGTGAAGTTTTGAAAATTAATTTACTTTTATACATGAAAGAAAACCGGAAGATTTCGGGAACTAATGTTTTTTAAATACTTCCTCATTGCTTCCCTATTAATAAATGTCAAACTTACGCAACATCTAGTCAGTCTGTGATTTTGACATTGTCATGATTACAATTTTGGATGCCAAATCAATTTACTATAAATGGTTCCAAGATATTTTCAATGAAAATGAATGTGTTAATGTATAAACTAGTGTACATAAGTAGCCGTAACAGCTTTAATTGGGCGATTCCTTTGTTATCTCGTCATTTGTGATTAACAGTAGTTCTTTACTACTTATTTCAAGTTACAAAAAATGTTATATGGGTGCGTTACTTCGGATATGAGGAAGTATTTAAAAAAACGAAAACACTAAAAAAGCACCTCCATTAGATGGCGACTCTAGCAAAAGTTCATTTTTGCAGGAAACGAATGGACCAAAAACAGTCATTTCCGTTCCTTTTAACTAACAAATAAAAAAAATGAAATATGAAAGTTCGTAACTTAGATATCAATACAAATACAAAAAGGTACAAATAGAATATTTATTGTTTATTGAGTTTTGAAAACTAAGTTACTTTTAAACACGAAAGAAAACCGAAAGAATTGTCATGGAGAAATCAAGAACGTACCGTAGCGACATCTAGTTTGATTAAGGAAACTAATGCTTTTTTTAAATCTTCCTCATTGAACTTCCGCTTTCATACATCTGTCATTATTGTTCTTCAAAAATAATTAAATCTGATTGATATATTTTTTAAATCGGTGATATCAGTCTGCTACGATATTGGTTCATATATAGACTTTAAAGTTAAAAAATATATCAGTGAAGATTCATTATTTGTGAAGAAAAATAATGATGGGTGTATCAAACCGGAAGCTGAATTTCCGAATAAACACCTATGGGCTAAAATCCCTTTGCTTTTATCTGTCTTTATAATATGGTATTTGACACTATTGAAAATAAGTTGCATGTTGTGGTCATGCTATTAGATAATAATCTAATAAAATTTATTTCTGAAAATTTGCAGACATCATATGGTTAGCTGTGATAAAATAACGTAAAATGTGCAACATTTTTAGGTATTTAATGAGCTACGAACACGCCCTATAATGCGCAAGTATTCATAATATACATTAATTCCCTAAACCAAACTAGACGTCGCTATGGTACTTTTTTGATTTCTCCATGACAACCAAAGAGTATTATTAATGACAACCCTTCCGGTTTTCTTCCATGTATAAAAGTAAATTAGTTTTCAAATCCAATAAATAACTCATATTCTATTTGTACTTTATCGTATTTGTACTGATATATGTTAGTTAAAAGGAACGGAAATGACTGTCTTTGGTCTATTTGTTTCCAGCAAAAATCAACGAATAAAGTACTTTTAAATTTTAGTTTCATAAACAACTGAAATTCATATGGTAAATAAAAATTTTGAAACTTTGAAATAATGCTTCTAATATCGTTACTTATTTCGAACGAAATGAAAATTCAAATGAATTATCTGAATGTAATAAAATAATTGTTAAAACAAATGCTAATTCGTTTTCTAAACCGCTAGGTATAGAGTATAGTCAATGGGGTATTATGGAGTTCGCACATGCAGAAAGTATTTAAAAAAAACGAAAGTACTAAAAAAGCACCTCCACTAGATGGCGCTAGATACGCCATACGAGAATGATACGGTAACGATATTAGAAGCATTATTTCAAAGTTACAAAATTTTTATTTACCATATGAATTTCAGTTGTTGTTTATGAAACTAAAATTTAAAAGTACTTTATTCACAATCAAATTATTCACTTTTCTGTATAGAATAGTGGAATAGTTATTCGAATGAATCATTCTCTTTCGCCCATCTCTACGTTACTTAGGGCTGTCTTGTCTGTCTGATGTCTGGTTTTTTTTATTAACCTTTGCAGCGAAAGTATTAGTATATTTACTTTCTGTTTAAAAATTAATTATTTTTAACTGATTGAAAACAAACACTACCGAATCACCAATCCATAGGTAAAAAAATTGCGGCATTTTCCATGTTTTTTTTTTCTATTGAACTAATTTTAGGTTAGATCTCATCATGCAATAATTTAGCTGTAAGCTTTACGTAATTTCGCTAGTAATAAACATAACTAATAAAATTGCAAATAATAGCGTTGAATTTCCATAAAAGTTGGGCCTATAAAGTGCAATAGCTTAGCCAGAGGCAGGATTAATATGTGGTATTTGCTTCCCGGTTTTCAGAAATGGCTGCACAATTGTTTAACCGCATCGGTCAAGTCGGGCTAGGTGTTGCCCTTGTTGGTGGTGTAGTAAACTCCGCATTATACAATGGTAAGCATTTATTATCAAGCTTTACCAATACTTGCCAATCTTCTCATTTCATGTGTGCAGTATATACAACTTAGAATTTCATAATATTTTTGTTGATTACAGTTGATGGTGGACACAGAGCTGTCATATTTGACAGATTTGCAGGAGTCAAGAATTTGGTAGTTGGGGAAGGAACTCACTTTTTCATCCCCTGGGTTCAGAAGCCTATAATCTTTGATATAAGATCAAGGCCCCGAAATGTTCCTACAGTCACTGGAAGCAAAGGTATGTATCAAAAAGTAATGGTACTAAGTAGCATGCAAATTAAGTATTAGAATAAAGTAGATTGAATTTAAGATGGTACATAGGTACACATTGTTGCACATCAGGTTACCATAATATCTCAAATTTCTGCAATGAATTTTGCTGTCTACCTTCAGTATACTATGGCTTAAAATCTAGTGAGGAATAGGGATGACAACTAATTTTTGTTTGTTTGTCCATCAGATAGTGTTTAAAAACATTAAACACATATTTTTTTTTCGTAATCATAAAATAACAGTGTTACATGGAATTGAATTTTGATGTTACATTATAGTACGTTTTCTGCCCCCACTGTGACATAGAGCGCCCCCACTCCTTAACTTTAATGCCTGTTATCTAAGCTATTTCTTGTTAAATTAAGGTTAAAAAAAAAATTATCTAATATTTATACAAAATAGATGACGGACTAAATAGAATTGCATTTTTTTTACACAGTCATCATCCCTATTTGACAATTATGCATAATCTAATGAGCAATTGACTGCACATAGAAATTACTCTTTCAATAGGGATGAGAATAACTTTTGTTTGTTTGTCTGTCAGATAGATTAATGATGAATATTTTTTGCATAATCAATAAATAATGGCGATACATTGAATTGAAATGTGGCATAATGCTTTTGCACAATCACGGACATTGCTGCTCGGCCACCTTAAGGCTGGTATCGCTTGTTTTCGTTTATATTTGTTTTACTAAAAACATTACTTTTGATAAAATATATAATCAACCCTCTACATAAAAGTAAAAAAAAATAAATATTAAGTATTAGAAGTAAAACAATCTTTATTGCAAAATTACAAAATGAAAGATGAAAACAATACATCAAAAATTTGTATCGCAGAAAATAATCAAATATACCCTAGTGACAAAATACGTTGAATAAAATGGATGTGTATTACAATTAAACAATCATAATACAAAACACAAATATCGCAGAAAATAATCAAATGCCATTGCAATTTACATCAACATAGTCTTAGTAGCGAAGTAACATTGACCAAAATTGATGTATTTTAATTTCGTTTTCCAAACTAATTTTAATATTTTTCTTTGCTTCCGTTCACAAGCCAAATAATTGTGTAAACTACAGATGTTTTGATTATTTGGGTCTACTAAAGTAGTTGAGTACTAATTTATTTTTTGTGCTTAAATAACGTGAAATACTGTAAATAGCGTTTTTAATTAATACATGTGTTTTATTTGCAAAACAATTAACTTATAGAACTGGTCAAGTGCGAGTCAACTCGTGCACAAAGGGTTACGTCTCGAAAACGAACAAAAAAATCACATCAGAACTACATCATCTGAGAAATTTTCAACTGTCTATCACGCTTCATGAGATACAGACAGACAGACAGACAGCGAAGTCTTAGTAATTGGGTTGACGTTTTACCATTTGTGTATGGAACCGTAAAAATTAAAGATGTTGCCGAAAATCACTATTCCACACGGAAGAAGTTGCGGGCACAGCTAGTCATAAAATTATTCCAGCATTACTTTACACTTTGCTTGCTACTTAGTAACATCAATTATGCCTGGGCACCCTTTACTGTGGTAATCGTGAACATATACACACAGAACACTCGTAAAAATATTTTAATAAAGTTAATAAAAATTACTTCTGCGGCTAGCATTCAGGATGTTTTTATTTTACAAAAGAGAGCTGTCCGTGCTATATATAATTTACGGTCTAGGGAATCTCTCAGAGAACTATTTAAAGAAATAAATATTCTGACTGTTGCCTCTCAATACATCTATGAGAATATTATGTACACAAGAAAACATAACGATTCCTTCACAAAAAAAAGTAGTGTTCATAATCTTAACACAAGAAATAAAGATAAACTTGCCGTTCCAAGCTTCAGACTTCAAAAAACCAGAGGATCATTTCTGGGTAAATGTATTGCTATGTTCAATAAAGTTCCACAAAATGTAATTGACCTACCCATAAATAAATTTCAAATTCATGTAAAGAATATACTTATGAGTAAAGGCTATTATAAAGTTGATGATTACTTTAAGGATCGCAATGCATGGAATTAATAGCCTTCGCTTTGTTCTATAAAGACTAATTATATGTTCAACTTATGTCCTACAGACTTTGAAAGTTGTATTTACTATTGTGATAAATTGATAATACATATTATTTTGGTAATGACATGATTTATGTAAATGTCATTACTTATGATAAAAAGCTGATAAGTTTCTTTCGCTTGTTCTTCTTGTCAGCTAAAAGACGTCCTGAACAAGTGGTAGGGGAAAAAAGTCTTTTTTGGACGATTCAAAAGTGCTTGTAACAGCCTACTTGAATAAAGATATTTTCATTTCATTTCATTTCATTTCATTACTAGTAAAGTCACCTTTAGTACTACCCGAATCTTGCTGCCATCTAGAAAAATTTAGTTTCATTATTGATAGATTAGGATGTTTTTTTTTATATTAATTTTTCAAAATTTTTTTCTTACAGATCTTCAAAATGTGAACATCACCTTACGTATCTTGTTCAGACCAGTACCTGATCAACTGCCCAGGATATACACGATCCTAGGCATTGACTATGATGAAAGAGTGTTGCCGTCCATCACATCTGAAGTGTTAAAAGCAGTAGTTGCTCAATTTGATGCAGGGGAACTTATCACACAAAGAGAGGTACGATAATTAGCTAAATTTACTATTCTATAAATAATTAGGATAACAAAGTAATTCTAAAAATAATTAGGATATCATAAATGTACTTATTGATTACACACGACTAGGTACAATCACGTAACAAAATCGAAATCAAATTAGCTTAGTTAAGAGAGTGGTACTACAGAAATGACACCAAAGTCTTTCTGGTAATTTCATTATAAACCTGATTTAAGCTAACCATGATAACATGTTAATTTTTGGCTTTTTAAAATATATTAACAGAATAAATTACACATATACCTAAAAGTTAATGTCTACAATTCATTCACCTCCTCATTTTTATTTGCTAATGATGCTTTTAAATTACAGATTGTATCACAAAAGGTAAATGAAAGTTTAACAGAGAGAGCAGGCCAATTTGGTCTTATCCTTGATGACATTTCAATCACACATCTTACATTTGGCAAAGAATTCACACAAGCTGTCGAGTTGAAACAAGTAGCACAACAAGAAGCTGAAAAGGCTAGATTCCTTGTAGAGAAAGCTGAGCAACAGAAAAAGGCAGCTGTCATAGCCGCCGAGGGTGATGCACAAGCAGCTGTATTGTTGGCAAAATCATTTGGCAGTGCAGGAGAAGGTCTGGTTGAATTGCGTCGTATAGAGGCAGCAGAAGATATTGCATACCAACTATCAAAGTCCCGCAATGTTACTTACTTACCTGCAGGCCAAAATGTGCTTTTAAATCTTCCAACACAAAATTAATTGACAATATTGCTTGAATGCTGCCATAAGTGCTAGCAGTTGTAAGTTTAATAAGTCGTTGGCCGGTGTCATTGCATTTGTTTTTACACAACACAAATATTATTATAAGGATGTTGCATTTTGGAGAGACTAATGCTGGTTCCACCAATAGGTTGTAGTCGTTAATTAGCAATAGGAACTTGTAATTATGCATTAAATAAACTATAATTTTGTTGAGCTACATTGTTTATTATTGTAAAATATTAATCACATAAAATCTAGCTATTCTGAAATAAATTAATAAAATTGTTATTATCCTACACATCTTCTAAAAGGTGTGCGTCAGGCTAGCAGCACCACTCTTAGATTTAAAAATTAATTCATCTTCATTGTAACGCATGTGTCTTTGATCCATATTTATACCAACTTTAGACTTTATCAAGCTAAAAAGAATATTTCATCACTGTGCCTAGAACATTTTGATTGGAATAGCTAACTATGTTTCAGACTGATAAATATTTTAGCAAGTTTTTTTAGAATTTACAAGTGATCTGGCTGTGGTGCTGCTGGGCAGACGCCACTCATAAATAAATCATGAATTCATTCTTAAGAGCTGTATGCCAGGCCCTGCCAGCTTGGCATACAGCTCTAAAGGTGGACCTATTATAAATTTCTGAAAAACTTACTTTTACTATGTTTATGCTTGAGAGGTATTCAACAAAACTTATATGAATTAATTTATAAATAAATTATGAATTAATTAATTAATAATACATTATTTGGAAAATTTTATATTTTAAAGGGAAATACATAACAAATTTCATAAGTTAAATGATGTATCAAAATATTATTAAATCATCATTCTCCCATTTCAAACTATTTTCATCATCATAAGTTGAAACAGCTTCATACTTGTCCAATGCATATTTTTCATCAGATTCTTTTATATTCATTTCATCAGAAATATTGCTATCATCTTTCTCAAAATTTACATTTGCCTTGATTTTATTGAAAAATAAATTTTCTCTTATGCAAACATGTTTGATATAAGCCACTTCTGCAGAATTAAGTCCACTGGGCATTACTAATTGACACAAGTCAACATTTTCTTTAAAACTGATTATCAATTTCTCCACTTCATTTTTAAAATCTTTTGATATTACAGTACAACCAGCTTCACTAACATTATTTACAAGGATCCTAGATTGATTACAAGATTCCTTGTTTTTCAATAACAATGTCAACTCCGTCTCTATATCTTCCTTGTTGTCACACAGTTTCATTGCCCTTCGTAATCGTTTTTCTGCAGCATCAAACTGCCCTATCATTCTCAAAGCTTTAGCATTTTGGTACAGTGCTTTGCCATTGTTCCATAAACTATTTAATCTTCTTAATTCATTACATGCTGTACAAGCTTTTAGTGGTTGTTTAATTGTATTATAACAGACAGCCAAATTCATATACAGCTTTATAAGCAATTTCTCTTGCACACTCTCTTCTTTTTCATCTGCCAATCTACATTTGTGCAACATGAATACAGCTTTTCGAAACAATTGTATAGCTGCAGGATGATTTTTTGTTTTAAATAAAGTCATTCCTGAACTAAATAACATTTTAACTTCATGATGCACTCTATGGAACATGTTAGGCTCAGCAAAATCAATTGTCCTGAAACAAAATTTCTATCAATGCATCATCTCACAAGTAATATTGTAATTATTTATATAAATAATAGACTACCCATCCTTTTGTGTTAGAATGCTCTTTAGTAACTTCACATAAAAGACACAATTAGCTTTTGGCTTTATTCTTGGTGGTACACCCATCTCTCCATACATAAGATCATGGGTAAAGAGAAATACAGATGTCTCTCCAACAAGCATGGATCTAACAGCCTTTTCAAGACCTGGTAATAAACCTGAGTTCATCAAATCAACAACCTGGAAAACAATGTTGTACATCTTTTGTTAAGAGAATATAATTAGGCATTTAGAAAAAGTTAGTATCGAACATACCAACGGTTTATGAATAGAGCAGACATCAAAAGGCTCTAAACTGCCTTGCCAGTAACCAGAAAATGCTACAGAAACAGTATTACTGTCAGAAAGTGGCAGACCACCACCTTCTTCAAGTATTTTCTTCTTCACAAAGCCATTGTCGTCCAATAGTGTCATAGTTTTTTCCAATTCCCGAAAATCAGACACAGGTTGCCCAATGACAACCGATGATTTTGATTCTTTTGTTTTTGCAGGTTCAATACAGTTGTTATCATCGTAATCCTCGTTTATGTGTAGAACTGATCCGCTAGTAACGAGTTGTCTGCATGAAAGTAACTTTGTCAGAAAAAAAGGATTCTAATATAAAAAATTATGTTCAAAAGTAACTCACCTTAAATCTAAACCACTTTCTAAAGCAAAAGTCGTAGATTTGCGTTCCATATTATTTAATTTCAATGTAAATAATTTTCTTTTTAATTTGATTATTGGCGTTTGGCGCTTCCCTTTTGTAATTCGCCAACTCTATACAATATCGCGCCGCGCAGTGTTGCCATATCTTAAAGCTCGAAATCTGAATCGCTAAGTCTGAAAATCTGTATTATATCTGTATACGACGAAAAAGCTAAAATCTGAATAAAATCTGTATTAATTAAACTTTTTATAAAATAGTAAACAAGTGAAAAACATACTTATTGTTGATACATACTTTTATTCATTTTACTAATCATATTTTTGCTAACATTTAGCTTGAAACATGGCTCGTTTTTTAATAATTGTTTGGTCAAGAATAATCCTTCCATAGTGTCTGTACCTAAATGGTTGCGAGTTTTCGTTTTTATCAAATTAATTGAAGAAAATATTCTTTCTACTGTTGCACTGGAGTGGGGTAGGCATAATAAGGCTGAAACTATCTCTTTGAGAGTCGTATAATGTAAGTCGTATAATGTAAACTCGTAATAACGTATAATGTAAACTCGGCTATCAATTGGGTTGCCATAGCAAAAGTAATTTTAGCATCCAGTTTAAGGGACAAATAAATATTTAGGACTAAAATGTATTAAAGTTTGAACCATTTACTTATATTATTTTTTGTATTCACACACATGAAAATGTGAATTTAAAAAATCTGTACAAACCTAAAGTGATATCTGGCATCTGTATCAGGAGCCAAAAATCTGTACCAATACAGATAAATCTGTATATATGGCAACACTGGCGCCGCGCTAAAAACTTTCTTTCAATAAATAGTGTTGTGCCTTACATAAACAATGTCCTAGGAATCATTTCATCGCATTTTACAAGAAAATTCAGAACATTTTTAATAAAATTTACATTTAATTAAAGTATGTAGCAATTTATTCGATAATTTTTTGCCATCTTGTTGGTAAGGAAATGATCCCATTGCTATAAAATTTTGGGGCCTCTGAAAAAAAATCCGCGACAAACGGTTTTGGCAGTCCTCGCGTGATGTCAACACAGGATGTCAACCTGACACTGTCTAAAGAATGAGGAACAGTGTTGCCACCTCAATTTTAGAAATGGGGCAGTTGAAGAAACTAAAAAGGGCTAGATCGGGCTGTCAACGTGAAATCGAATATGGTGGACAGAGGGTGGACATGTCATTCCCTTGGGCTAGCTACATAGCCTACATATTAGTAATCTGTGGGCTAGATGGAGCCATGGAGCACAAATTACCAACAAAAAACTTTTTATGAAGGACATGAGTGAAATTGTAATGCTTTTTCTTTGACAGATGGCACTTGTTGTCTGATAAGTAAGATAAATAATTTTTTATATATGCATTATTGGAATCTTGAGCTCGATGGATAATACTCCAGAGCTATCTGTATTTATTTTAGTGATAACAAAAAAAAATAAACTTGCCGCGTAAATGCTAAAAAAAAACACATTTCCTAATGATTTCAATTATGTTTTTATTTTTATAACATAATAACATTTTTAAAATTATTCTATATAAAAAGTTTACAAATAAAAAAATAGGTTAAAAATAATAAAGACGTATTTTTTAAATTAAATTCAACAAATCTAACCGGTTTAACATCTTAAAGTAATCATTAACCAAAACAAAACAAAATTAAAGAGATTTAAAATTTAAAACATAAGTATTTATGGTGTTATGAACAAAAAAGCATTAACAAAAAATACCAATCAAAAATCAAAGTCTTCATCTGAATCCTCTAAATCCTCCTTTGGCGGAGCAGAAGTAGATGGCTCATTTAAATCTGTGGTATTTTTCAATAATTTGAAAGTGTATTTCAAATTACTACCACATTTGTCAATTATGTCCTTAGAAACCTTATGAGAAAAGCAAGACTGTTTGAATCGTTTCAATCCCCATCGTATATTTAAAATTGCAGTCATTGTTGTCAACCCCATCCTGTTTCTCGTTTTAGTTTTGATCAAGTTCATTGAACTGAAGACACGCTCTACATCGGCGTTAGAATGTGGCAAAGATAAAATAACTTTGGCCAAATTTCCAAGCTCCTGATATGGCATGTTTCCTGCGGCATCCTTATGAACAGGGGTGTATTTACCCTAGGGCCAGAAGAGCTATAGCCCGGGGCGGCAGGCCGCGAGGGGCGGCCCAGGGCTAGGGCTTTGGTTTGGACGTTTGAAAAAATACAAAAAATATTTTCAGACTTAAGCCTAGAACGCCCCTGAGCCACCTTTCCACATGTTGATTTAATGTCTGAAGAAATTTGAAATTCAAATAAAGTATGAAAGCCGCCCCTTGTGATGTGCGTGGATTTCATGTCTGGAGAAATTCGAAATTAATTGAAGTATGCAAGCCGCCCCTTGTTCTTTCCTGAACCGGTTGAACCGTCTATTTTTTTCCAAATCCAAGCGAAGATCCGAGGTTCAATATCGCTTCTTGAACAAAAAAATATTTAAAACCAGACTCATAAACAGAGAGAAAGTTTGTCGTAATTATTTAATATATTCAAAATCAAAGGGTTCCATATTTTGTGGACCATGTCGTCTTTTCGAAAGTGAACATGGAGGTCAACTTACTTCTGAATTAGGTTTTTCTGATTGGAAACATGCTCACGAGAGACTTAAGGTTCATGAGTCTAGTTTGGGGCATAAAAACTGTTTGCTAAAAATGAAAAATCGGGGACAAGTAGAGACCCGGGTTGATTCTCAATTATATATACAATTAGAAGATGAAAAAAAGTATTGGCGTAACGTATTACTTCGAGTAGTTGTAGCTGTGAAACATCTAGCTACGCGTGGACTTCCTTTTCGTGGAAAGACAGATAAATTTTGATCCACAAATAATGGAAACTTTCTGATGATGTTGGAAGCTATTTCAGAGTTTGATCCATTTCTTGCCAAACATATTGAGCATTTTGGCAACCCAGGAAAGGGCAACACCTCTTACTTATCATTTGCAACATATGAAAAAATTATTAAAATTATGGTTGACAAAGTTACCGAAACCATAATTGAGCAACTTCAAAAAGCCAAATACTTTTCTTTTAGTGTTGATTCTACTCCGGACATAACCCATGAAGATCAACTTTCTATAATTGTGCGATTTGTTCAAGAAAATGCAGAACCAGTTGAACGTTTCCTTTGCTTTCTGCCAAATACTGGTCACAAAGCAGAAGACATGTTGCAAGCCATTTTGAAGACTTTTGACATACTGAATATCGATATTGCCAATTATAGAGGTCAGTCTTATGATAATGCAAGCAACATGTCGGGGCAGTATAACGGCCTGCAGGCAAAGATTGAAGAAAAATGCCAATATGCAACATATATACCTTGCGCCGCACATTCCTTAAATTTGATCGGATCCTCAGCAGCTGAGTGTTGCCCAGAAGCTACAAAGTTTTTGGGAGTATTGCAAAATCTGTACGTATTTTTTACAAGATCAACGGAACGTACAAAAATATTGTAAACATTTTTAACGGAACCTGAAAATGTAACCGTTAAAAGTTTGTCACATACGCGGTGGTCGGCAAGAGATAATGCTTGCTCGAGCCTGAATAAAAATTGGGAACAAATAATTAAAGCTCTGGAAGCAATAAAAAGTAACTCTTCGCAACAAAAAGCCTTAATCAAAAATGAAGCTACAGGTTTATTGGCTCAACTGAATTCCTTAGAAACAGCGATATTATCGGAATTCTGGGGATCAGTCCTAAAACAATTTAATACCGTTTCTAAAGTTTTGCAAGGTGTGGACACAAACGTTGAGGTAGTCTCCAACCTTTACGATTCCCTGATTACTTTTGTGAAAAATCAACGCGAATTATTCGATGCATTTGAAAAAGCTGGAAAAGAAAAGTGTACTGAAGATTACAAAGATAGCCGGAAAAGGATAACAAAAAGAAAAAAACGAGACGATGAGCAACGCGAAGGAGAAGTAATTTTACAAGGACGGGACTATTTTAAATTGAATACTTTTTTGCTAATATGCGACCAACTGTTGGGCGAGTTAAGGAGGCGTAAAACATCCTATGACGCTGTAACCGCCAAATTTGTATTTCTATCCAATTTAAGTAAGGCGGAAATTAAATTGAACGCATTATCACTCCAAAAGTCTTATCCTACTGATCTTGCGGATGATTTAAAGGATGAATGCATACTATTAAAGAATTTTTTGCCGTCAAGAAACTAAAACAAGTTTACGCGAACTAAACTTATTAATTAATAAAAAGGATCTGAAAGTGGCGTTTCTTTACATTGAAATTGCGTTGCGCATATTTCTTTGTACTGCAGTAACGAATTGTAGTGCAGAACGCTCATTTTCGGTAATCAAACGGATAAAAAACTATTTAAGATCGCGTCTTATCGAAGAACGGCTTAATAATTTGGCAATTTTGAACATCGAAGCCGATTTAACAAAAAAATTGATTATGACGATGTAATAAACAAATTTGTTAAAATTTTGTCCACAGAAAAAAAATGTAAAATATAAAATCGATAATTTTTTTTTGTTTCCTTTCATTCCTTGATGGGGCGGAAAGCTACAGGAGCCCGGAGCGCGCAATCTTAAAATACGCCCCTGCTTATGAACAAGTACTTCGCACCAAAATTTTACGCTGTCTTCTTTATTCTCCCAATCTTGGTTAGCAATGAGCTTATATTGTGTCAAAATTTTATCAATTTCTTCAGGCTGCACACCGAACACTTCAGCAAGTTTAACGATGGGTAGTAACAATACACAACACAAATGTAAAAAGGGCTAAATAGCCCTTTCCGGGCTAAATAATTAAACAACGACTTCACCTACAATAAAAAGTGCTAGATCTAGCCCCAAAAGGGCTGAGGTGGCAACACTGATGAGGAAGTATTTAAAAAAAAATAGTTCTTGAAATCATATTAGGTATCACTCGGAATGTTTGGATATTGTCCATGATATTCTGGAGAATCCCAGCCCATTCAAAATTTTATCTAAATTCTTTGCAATCAATAATAGTCTTAATTTATAAATATATTTGTTTTCTATATACATTCTATTTGTATTATCTTTAACAATGTAATCAGATAGACGCGCTCAGAGCTGTTTTTTTTTTATTTTATTTAAATTCAAAATTTTACATATTTTATTAATGATTCTATACGTGTAAAGACCACAAACGTGACATTGGCGGAATTGTGTAAATGCAAATAGGCCATGAATTAAAAAAGAAGAAGAAGTCTATGATATTCATCCAAATTTTGTTTCTGACGTTATAGAAGTAAATTGAGTATCGAAAATTAATAAATATAACATCGTTTCGTGTTTCTTATCATACCTAATTTTGAAATTAATTTTAATTTATTCGAATCGTAAGTTTTAGTTATTTATTATGTTACGTGTAAAGGAACGATATTTGGTTTATGTGTCAACA